GTGGAATGGTAAGTCTAGACTTATAAGTCGAAGACATAATACCATTAAACAATTTCTCACAACAGGGGTTATCTCTATTGACTACGTGATGTCAAAAGATAACGTAGCGGCCGCTAACTCACTAACCCGAGGGAAAGAAAATGGTTGTGGAGAAATTGGAACGAGGAATGGGTCTAAAGCCCTTGGACTAAAAGTTCTATAGTGGATACCCAACCTAGCTGGCACCCAGGTTCAATGGGACAACTAAATTATGGAACGGAACGTGTCACTGTGGGGGTCTCGGACTTCCTACCACTCCTCGTTAGAAACAGTGACTCCCGCACAAGGCTAGCACGTTGGTGCTTTAATGATCGAATGTCGGTTGACATGTGTGAGTATGCGGGATACTCGGAAAAGAATCACCTATGTGAGAGAGAAGTGAGGGTCGCTTCAAATTAAAGGAGAATTGATGGGCACAATTCTTCACAAACTCTTGCAGAACCAGGACGGTGACCCACGACCAAAATGGGCACACTCATGAGAACAGAGCATGGTTGGTTGAACACAGTTTGTTCAAAGACATGTCATCGTCTACACAAACGGCAGTCGGTTCAAAGACATCGCGTTCTACCGTACAGCCAGTAGAGTAAACATATCTTTACAAGGGAAGGTTCAAAGGGTATAGTGATCCCTACCTATCCTATGCAGGGATTGACCGTTGAACACAGTTTGTTTCCGTTTTCAAAATTCCCTGAAAATCAATTTTTCATTCATGTGGGGGATTGTTGAAAAAATAGCATTAAAATAGCATAAATTGACATGTTAAGTGGCTATTTTGTGGTACAATCATCACTGGGGTCCACTTCTGATTTAGGTCGGGTCAAAGTGGATTCGGGTTCTTCGTAGTGAGACGAAGAGATTGATATATTGTACGCTCAAAACGGATAATGAGTGAATGAGATATTGATTCTCAAAGTAGACCCATTTGAGTTGGAAAATGAAGGGAAAAAGTGAGTTTTTGTCCCACATTGGTTTGGGAAGAGGATTTGCCCCACTATTTATACAAGAGTTCTTTTTAAGCTTATTGAATTGTATAGCATAGAGGCTCTCTCTCGCGCGCAAGGGGGGGGGGGGGGGCGGGGTGCAAATCAAATTCCAACTAGAAACGAGATCGAAAAGGCTTAATTCAAGCTCGAGCTCGAATGTCTTCTGGAAATTGGCTGGCCTTCGAGCTAAGTTATGCCAAACTTCGGTATCATTTTCCAACCGTTATAGTCACTTGGTTCGGCTCTCACCGAGAGCACAACTCTCGTGCAACGGTGACCACGAGAGGTGCACTCCAACTCTCGTGCAACGGTGACCACGAGAGGTGCACTCTTGGGTTGCACCACAACACGAGAGATGTACTCTCGTGTGCTCCAGCAGCGCGAGGCCGAACGTTTCGGCCTAAGGCCGAAACTTGGTGAACCTGAAAGCTAACAACCCTTTAACTACTGTTTTGAATTTTGAATTTAATTCTGTTAATGGTGGCTGTTTCAGGTGTTACAAAGACTGATTCAATATCAGCTTTTAATGCCATAATGATGCTATTGAATCGTTCATACCCTATATAAGAAGGGAGTAGGGCAGCAGATTTGGAACACAAAAGAGGGAAGAACGAGAGAGACACAACACACAAGAAAAATAATTTTTCCAGCCTCAAAATACTTCTGCTTCTACTCCATTCTTGAAGCTGTGTTTTGCCCGTGCTCTTGTTCGCCGGATTCATTCGTTTGGGTGCTCAAACGTCGAACCGTTGTACGTTTTATCCTGGGAAACCTAGGCCACAACGCTCCTAGCACTTTTAGGAGGTGGCAAATAAGGTTTTAAGGAAAGAAAGGAACTCGCCTAACTCGTACATTTCTTTCTTCCTTCTCCTTCTTTCTTGTTTGGATTATGCTTTTAAGCAAAAATCTGTTCTCCCTCTTTTGATATATTAGTTGGATTGGACTTATAATTTGAGGATTATTAGTTTCAATTTTGGTTGATATATATTGGTATATCTTATATATATATATATATATATATATATATATATATATATATATATATATATATATATATATATATATATATATATATATATATTTCGGATAAATATCCAATAATATTTTATATACTTGTGTGTGTATATATAAATATTATTTTTGGGATATTAAATTGATTGTGATTCATTATCACCATCATTTACAACAAGATTAAATTCATATCTTTCTTTTAAAAAAAATTCTTTGTAAGATTCGAAAACTTATGAATTTAATTATTTATTTATTTTGAGCCGGTTGATCATTTGAGATTTGTCCGTGAATTATTATATATAAACTAATATATATTTAATAATTATATTAAATATCTTACAAGCCGGACAAAATCGAATTTTCTTTTTGGAGGTCAAAATCAATCATGCATGTGCAATTCTATGAAAACTAAAACACATTCAATGAATTGTATTATATCACACGAACGAATTCTCAAAAAATATCGCTATTCAAGGGTGTAAGAGTACATGTTTGAGTCATCACCGGGTGATTCATATTAGACACATTTATCATTGTTTCCAAAATGTTGAATCCCCAATCTTAAGGGCCCTCCACACGTCCCGACCCGATAAATCATCTGGGAGAATATAAATTATGGTAGAGCAGCCTCTTACTTGGAAATGTTGCTCCTACACTGCCGCTAGTGTAACTCGATTTCGGTCATTATTCTCAAACTTTACACATGTGATCAACTGAGCTGGCCATTCGAGCTAGACACATTTATCATTGAACATAACAAAAATACGAATTTTCTTACTTCTTACTTTCTTACTAGAAAAGCGGCTCATTGGGACCTAGGGTTTTGGGGTTCAGTACCTCTTGGATGATGAATGCTTGAGTATCAGTTGGTTGACGTACGGTTGTACGTGAGGAGAAGTTGATTTGTTTTGTTTTGGATATCCCTTCCTTTCAAAATCTCTATTACATCCAATAAATATGTACATTTACTATAGTAAAATTTAAATTATGTTATAAATATATATATTTAGTGGATATTATTATCTAACGGACATATTTATGTTCTCATCATTATGCTTTCCGTTATAACTTGTTATTATATATATCACCTCTTGTAAGATAAAAAAGAGATGCTAGTGGAATGGAATGATGAACTCTCCTTGTCTCTTGTTCTACTTCTCCTTGTCTCTCTTATTCTATTTGCATTTATTTCTATATTTATCTCCAACTGGTTAGGAGCTAAAGGCCAACGGCATAATCTTCTACAATCTTCTACAACACGTTATGGGCACGCTCAACTCAACTCCGATTTATACGTTTTCTATGCCTTATTATTTCCGGGGTCTTCAAATTGCATATGTATATGTTATGTGAATAATTCAAGAAAAACAATGCATATCAGCATATGTGTAAGCAGTGAATGCCAACCTTCATTCTGAGGTTGATTATTGGTACTAATATTTACGGAAATAATGGGAAAACAATGCATAGGTTATATCACGTACAATGTATATATCTTCATTCGATGACGAAACATTTCTTTCATCAAAACCAATTTTTTTTTATATTACAAGAGAGTTTAATCCTGTGTTCTAAATGAATGGGCTGTGGAGGAGACAAATGATGCGTGATCTTTTGTGTCACTACTGTGAATTTAACCTTACCTTCCCCAAACACTTTTTGAAGAAGTGGGTCGCAATTGAAATATGAAGATCATCAGCACTCTGCATTCTGCAACTTTCTAGCTTTAAGATAGTGCCAGATTGCAGCTATAATCCTTGCTTGAGTATCAACCCCAATACCTAAAACTTCTCGCAAAGATTGTGAAAGTTTATACTTCTCGGACGAGTAATTCAACTCTAGTATAATATTCGGGAAGCGTTCTTTATACGTTTTTTCATCTAAAAAATTTAAAAAATATTATATATATATATATATATATATATATATATATATATATATATATATATATATATATATATATATCAAACCAGCTTCTCCTTCATCACCGTCACCTTCCCCTCTTTGCCGACCAACGGTCTGCTTCTTCCTGCGTTGGCGGCGTCCAGCGGCAGCGGCGGCGGCCGAAGGAAATCGCCCCCCCCCCCCCCTCTCTCCCCGCGTCCAGGGCAATGGTAGGCCCGGTAGTGTCGATCGGCGGTAGCCTGAGACGATGGTGGCCGCAGTAATGGAGATTGGCGGTGGTCTGCGGTGATCAGTAATGGGGGAGGTCTCTTCGGTTTTTTTCTTCCGTTTTAATGAAACCGCTTGCATCAATGGCCCTTTTTAAGGCTAATAATGACGCCAGAAGCGTTATTATTTCTAACTAGTAATTCACCCGCTTGATGCACGGGAAAAAATTATGTTATATTATAAATATAAATCAAAAATAAAAAAACTAAAATATTTTAAATTATTTAATATAATAATATTTTTGAGCTTCCATTGGTCAAGTATTTATTATTTTTATAGAATACAAAATTATAATCAAAATTAAAATTATAATTTTGTATGATTAATATAATCTCTAATTATGTGCATATTCAAATAAACTTATAGAGAGAATTTACAAAATTACATTGATTTATTCTTAATTGTATTTCATCTATATTATAATTTTCACAATACGAATAATAACTAAGATAATTACATTTGGAAAGTAAATTTCAAATTTTGTATGTGTAAATTTAAACTCTAATTGAACACATTTTTTATATGATTATATAATATATAGCTATTTTATTTTTAAAAAGTATATTTTTTATATGATTATATAATATATAGTTATTTTATTTTTTAAATGTTGTGCTTTTTTTTTTTATAATAAAAGATGTTGTGGCATTAATTGTAGCATTAATTATTTTCCAAACCATATAGCTTTATTATATAAAGGATAATTCATAATTTTTTTGACTTAGGGTTTTTTTTTTATTTTTTTTTATTTTTTAAATCGATAAGGAGGGGTGATACCCCAAGAAGCAATAACTAGGTCCTATCACTATGGGACCAATTTGTCCGCAACCGATCGTTGTAGAGAGTCTCCTCCAGGCCCGGGGGACAATGTGCAAGAGCACGCCAGTCCACGTTCATATTCGCTCCCAAGTTTGCTAGGGCATCAGCACACTCGTTTTGTTCTCGAACTATATTTCGGAAAGAAATCTTCCAGATATCCTTGAGCCGATTTCTGATATTCTCTATATGCTCACATATAGGACCCCTCAACACAGAATCTCCCAGAATCCAGTTGATGACCTTCTCAGCATCTGATTGAATTTCCACGTCTCTAATTCCAGCCTCCCATGCCCACGAAAGTCCTTTAGAGATTTCTTCCGCTTCAATGATAGTAGCATCAGCATAACAAGACTTCCCTAAGAACCCTCCCATCCATTCTCCATCAGTGTTTCTAAGAACGCCCTCATGACCAGCTTTTCGAACAGAATGTTTAACACTAGCATCCACGTTAAGAGTCTAAGCATGTGTGGTAGACGGCGACTAGTGGGGGTTACGTTGATGGTATTCCGCTTGTAGGAGTTAGCATTATTGTTTCGAAGATGATCAAAGGCTCGCTCTATCTCCTCTACAGCTTCCAGAATCCAAACAGACTTCCTCCTGGCTTCAATTTCCTCTCCTCTGAATATACTGTTATTCCGCCAACGCCATATCCACCATATTGCGACTGTGAACATGGTGGGTAAATCCATTGCTTCTGTTCTCTTTGCTTGGGACAATGTTTTCCGCAATCCAATCGTTAAAACTACTTTGGTCGGTAGTACAGTTCCCGACTATCCTCTGCAGACCTTGCCACACTTCTTTAGCCTTGGAGCAAAAACGGAATATGTGTTCTGTAGTTTCCTCCTGGCCTGGGTATTGGTGGCAATCTCCATTCATAGTAAATCCTCTTCTCCGCCTTTCCGCGTTGCCAAGATTTTTGCCATGGAGAACGGTCCATAATAGTGTCTTCATCTTTGCGGGGGCCTTAATTTTCCAAAGATGATTCCATGTAGGTTCCTGCATAGGCAAGGCATATCTATGAATCACATTATATGCCGAGGAGACAGAAAACATACCTGAGGGTTCAGCTATCCAAGAGACTTCGTCATCTTCATTACTGAGATCGAATAGCTTTAGCTTGTCATTGATGTCGGTTGGGAGATTTGTGATCTCTTCCCACTTCCAGCCTCTAGTAACGTCCCATAGGTTCGCCACATATGTATCATCTTCCTCATGATCATTCGAATTTATCAGCGTGTGTAAAGGCACGTCCGTGATCTAGGGGTCTTTCCAGAATTTCACCCCTTTGCCATTATGAACTCTTTGGTGGATTTTGTTAGAAACAAGGGGCATGGCAGTTGTAATACCCCTCCATGCATTTGATACTCCTAGTTTGGGTTTGAACATGTCTATGCCCTTCTTGTCTTTCGCATATTTCCCTCTGAAAACTCGGGTCCAAAGACTGGTTTTATCAGTTAACATTTTCCAACCTAGCTTTGCCATAAATGCGAGATTGACATATTTAGAAGACCTAATACCAAGGCCTCCCATTTCTTTTGGTTGAGTCACTTTCTCCCATTTAACCAGGTGAACTTTGCGGTATCCCCCGTACTACCCCAAATAAATCTTCTGAATCCTTTATCAATCGCCTCCCAAATACCTGTAAGAAGCAGCATGGTTTGCATGTTGTAATAAGGAATCGCTTGAAGAACAGCTTGTGCGAGGACGTGTCTTCCTGCCGAAGTGAGGAATTTAACTTTCCACCTATCCAATCTTGCATCCATTTTATCAAGAATAGGGGCGAAAAGGCTGTTAGTAGTCCTCCCATGAATCGACGGGACTCCAAGATACTTTCCTAGATTAGGAGTGATTGGAATCCCGGCAATTTCGCTAATGGTGTGCATCACTTGTGCGTCCACATTTTTGAGAAAAAAAATATGCGACTTGCTGAGGCTGACTCTTTGACCTGAGGCTTTACTGAATCTCTCCAAGCACTCCTTGATGAAAAAAATTTGGTCTTGTGAGGCTTCTGCAAAACGGACAAGGTCGTGAGCAAAGAATAAATGGGAAAGCATTGGTCCATACCTGTTGGTCTTTAGACCTCTCCATCTATTGTTTCTGACTTGATCCTTGATAATGTGACTGAGACGCTCCATGCAAAGAACGAAAATATATGGAGAGATTGAGTCCCCTTGTCTAATGCCTCTATTCGGTTTGATCCACTCCAAACGCTTCCCATTCCAGATAATATCGAGTCTAGCAGTTTCCACACATTGCATGATGTTCCTAATCTATTCCTGACTCAGGCCAACCTGCTGGAGGGTATCCCTGATGAAATCCCAATCTAGTCTGTCATAGGCCTTCTCGAGGTCCACCTTCAAAATCATGTAACCTTTTGCCCCTTGTTTAGTTCTCATAGAGTGGAGGGCTTCTTGGTACACCAGAATATTATCAACAATCTGTCTTCCTGGAACAAAGCTGCTTTGCTCAATGCCAACGACATCTCTAAGAATTGGTTTAAGGCTGTTGGTCATTTCCTTTGTAAAAATCTTGTAGAGCACATTGCAGAGATTAATAGGTCTGAAGTGGCCAGCATTAACAGGGCAATCATTTTTTGGTACTAATGTGATGAGAGTATCATTCATCCCCTCATCTAGTACACTTTGCTCAAAGAAATCCGGATAGTTATGCTGTGCATCCGTATGCACCATGCATGGTGCATACGGATGCAAAAACGACGTCGTTTTATTAAAAACGCGGATCCCACTTTAAAAAAAAATTCAGTTTCGATTCCCCTCAACAGCATTATGTTGTTCATTCATTCTGGAATTTTAGTTCATAGATTCTGGAATTTTAGTTCATTGATTCAGGAATTGTAGTTCATTGATTCTGGAATTTTAGTTCATCGATTCTGAAATTTTAGTTTATAGATTCTGGAATTTTAGTTCATTCATTCTGGAATTTTTAGTTCATAGATTAGATTCTGGAATTTATGTTCATAGATTTTGGAATTATAGTTCATCGATTCTGGAATTATAGTTCATCGATTCTGGAATTTTAGTTCATATGTTGTTGTTGGGAATCGAAACTGAATTTATTTTTTTAAAGTGAGACGCACGTTTTTAATAAAACGACGTTGTTTTTGCATCTGTATGCACCATGCATGGTGCATACGGATGCACAACATCATTTGCCAAGAAATCCCTTGCCTGTTTAAAGACTGATGTGCCTACAATGTCCCAGGCCTTTTGGTAGAAACATGCATGAAAATCATCAGGTCCTGGGGAATTTAGTGGGCTCATTTCAAATAAAGCAGTTTTAATTTCGTCGATTGAGATATCTTTATTCAGGTGGTTCCAAGAGCTAACCGGGATGGTAGGAAAGCAACTACCTTTTATCACATTCAAATCCGGTTCCGCCTCCTTTGTAAAAAGATTAGCAAAGAAAGCCCTAATCTTTTATTCTTCCTCCAAATCATTTTGAAAAGGAGTATCGTCATCGTTTCTTAATCGGTACGTTGGTCCCAAAGGGGTGTGGTAAAAGTCTAAAGGGGGGGGGGGGGGGGGGTGAATAGACTTTTAAACTTTTTCGCGAATGCAACAATTGCTAAGGCAACAGAGAGATCAAGACTCTTAACTAGATTGTTAGAGTCTTGTACGCAGCGGAATAAATAAATACGAGTTGTGTGATTGTGTCAAGTGTATCAACGTGATAAGCAGTAAGAAAATAAAGCAGTAAATGACACAAGGCAATTTATAGTGGTTCGCGAGGTAATGTAATCCTCCTACTCCACTTGCTCTTATTGTCCAAGAGCAATTCACTATATCCACCACTTCTTGGTTCCTAGATACAATGAATTTCCGTGATCTAGTGCTTTGATCACTAAGCCCACACTAATCACGCCCAGTGCCTCCAACACTGCTGCTTCGGATTTCACAGCTCCGTGCTACTTTCCAGGATTTCACAGCTCCGTGCTACTTTCCCCCCGTCTTCCACGATCCGGTCGACGTATCCCGTGATCTGGTGCTTTGATCACCAAGCCCACACCAATCACGCCCAGTGTTCTCCAACACTGGTGTTTCGGATTTCACAGCTCCGTGTGACAATCCAAGATTTTACAACTCCGTGCTACTTTCCCCCCGTCTTCGACGTATCCCGTGAACTAGTGCTTTGATCACAAAGCCCGCACTAATCACGTCCAGTGTTCTCCAACACTGTTGATTCACTTGTTTGTAGAAACACAAGTTTCACTGACTTTCCAACATTGAGACTTCTTGAATGGATCTTCAATATGCAGCAAGTCTCTCAATGATGAAGAATTAAGCACTGTTGAATATTTTCTCTTTGAGCTCTCTGAGTGTTTTTCTCACTTGAATATTTTCTCACTTGTAAGCTTTTTCAAGCAGATTGGATTTGTATGATAAGTGTTGTGGAAAGTTGTTGATCTGCTTCATTCTTCATCCTTTTATAGCTGGTTTTGAGAAGTTGTCCGTTGGAAAAAGACAATCTCAAATTTGAATTGTAGATCTCAAATTTGAATTCCAAATCTCAGATTTGAATTCTTGTAGCCTTTTGCAGAAAATCTGTAGCTTTTTCAGAGGATCATATTAAGAATAATATCTCTCTGATATTTCGGCCGTTGCTCTGTATGTGGTCCATGTGAAGAGACTTAAAATATTTTTGCTGCAGATCTTATCTTCACGTGAAGGGCTTTAAAATATTTCTGATGTAGATCATGCGCCTTCTGGGACTTTCATCTTCTGTGTATTTTATTCTCTCTGTATGGCTACTGATGAAGTGTTTCGGCCAATGAGATCTCTTGATCTGATGGGTCTCATCTTGATGGTGAGAATTCAATCCTTGATTGAAAACTTCTTCTCCAACTTCAGCTCTTACTATATATAGCTTTGGAACTTCATTTCCAACTTCAACTCTTACTATATATAGCCTTTGAAACTTCATCTCTAACTTCATCTCATACTGCATTTCTAATCTTCATATTGACTTGACTTATGAAGACTTTGACTTTGCAAATCGCATCTCTAATCTCTATTATTTAATTGATTTATTTCAAAACTGATCTTGGAACCTCTGCTCCAACTTAGTCTCGAAACCTAACCTCTGCTCCAACTTAGTCTCAAAACCTCTTTTGAAACCTCAGCTCTTACCTTGTCTCCAAGTTCTTTAATTGATTTCGAAACCTCTGCTCCAACTTCACTTGAATTGATATCAAAACCTCTTTTGAAACCTCAGCTCTTACTTCATCTCTTGGAACTGATTTAAGGCTTCTTTATAAAATTGTAGAGAGTGAGTTTTGAACGTGAGACCTTATGGTTTATACATCAAGCTTTCATCCATCTCGATTGTACAGATTGTTAGTCATTATAGCATTC